AGTAGACCCGGGTTTCACCATGTTAGCCAGGATGGTCTCAATCTCCTGACCTCGTGATCCACCCGCCTCGGCCTCCCAAAGTGCTGGGATTACAGGCATGAGGCATTGCACCCGGCCCCAATTTTCTTTTATCTTTCCTCACCCCGTAAGAGAGAAGGCAAAAGGGCAGACATGGGCACAGTGCCTGGGAAGCCGCTGCCACAGACCCTCCCCGCGTGTGTGCTGGGGTCTCAGGCAGCCGGCAGGGCAGAAGGGAGGCTGCGCTCGGCAGCGGCAGGGCTCACCTGGGCCATGTCCATGGGAACAGCGAGGCCACGCCTCTGGGGAAGCACAGCGCCAAGGAGGGCAGATCTGCGGAGACAAGAAATGTAAGCGGGCGTAGCCGGCCCAGGAATGCCCACCCCACCTGACCACAGGAGCCCCCCACTCAGCAAATCAAGGGGAATTCAGGAAAAATGAGTGATGCACACGCAGGGTCTGCTCTGTACCTACCGACAGCCACCAGGTGTGGGGAAATTTGGCAGTGGTGAGGAGTCAACATATCTTTAAGGGACAGCTGGGTGCAGTGTGCCACCTGCCACACACAAGAACTCTGAAATACCAGACAGCAAGCCAGGCCTGTCACCAGAGGAGGACAGAGGCCAGCCACTGCTGGCTGAAAGCCAACAGCTTAGCTGCAAACACATGACTGGAGAGTCTAACCGCAACTGAGGCGTCTGGGGCTCCTCAGGAGACAGGCGGGCAGCCGTTCCCGCGGCGCTGTGCCCGGAGGATGCTCTCGGGTACGCTACGAGGAGGCCACCTGGCAGCCTTCCCCCAAGTGAAAACCTGGGGGAAGGTTTTCACCCACTGCACTCCAGTCTGGGTGTCAGACTGAGACCCTGTCTCAAAAAAAAAAAAGCCCCGAGAAATCCCATTAATCTTCACTCAGTCTCCAGATCAAGCCACGAGCTCCCCTAAACCTTAGGGTCCGGGCCCACTGAGATCCAGCTTCTACCCCCAGGTCTGTGGAGAACCACCCTGGCATCCCACTGCCCTCCTGCCACAGTGGGTCCTGCCTCCTTCCTGAGTAAAGCTCAGAGCCCCAATATGCAGAAGAGGCCAGCCCCACAGGCGCCCCTGAGAAGAGACAGAACCCGCTGGAGGAAGATGGCCCACGCCTGGTTACCTTGTCCGGGGAGGGGAGGAGATGTTGCTCTAGACCCTACAGACACGGAAGTATCATAAAGGGCTGTCAGGAGCAACTCATGCAAACAGGTTCAGCAACTGAGATGAAACGGACAAACTCCACGAAAAACACAGGATTATGAAACTGACGAAAGGGAAGCCACGCAGCCTCCCATCTGATAAGAGAATTGAAAATGTAACTTGAACCCTTCCCATGAGGAAAATACCACACCCAGCTGGGTTCCCTGGTAAGCTCCACCAAAGCCTACGGGAGCACAGTACTGATCTTAGAAGCTATTTAGTGAACAGAGAAAGAGCAGACACTATCCAGTCTGTCTTAATGAGGCCAGCAAAACCCAAACCAAAAACCTGATAGAGATATTACAAGGGGCCAAGCACAGTGGCTCACGCCTATAATCCCAACACTCTAGGAGACTGAGGCAGGAGGACTGTTCGAGGCCAGGAGTTGCCCAACCTGTCTCTATAAAAAACAGAATTAGCGGGGTGTGGCGGTGGACATACACAGTCCCAGCTACTCAGGAGGCTGAGGTGGGCGTATTGCTTGAATACGGGAGGCATAGGTTGCAGTGAGCTGAGCTCATGCCACTGCACTCCAGCCTAGGTGTCAGACTGAGACCCTGTCTCAGAAAAAAAAAAAAAAAAAGATATTACCAAAAAATTACCTACCAAACTCTCATAAACACAAATTCTCAAAAAATATTAGGAAGCCAAATCCAGCCGTTTATAAAAAGAATTCTCGGTCATGACCAAGTGACGTGGACCCTAAGAGTACACAGCTGGTTTGATCCCCATTAGCTGCAGCTGGTGCCCAGAAGGCTCCCTCCACCACCTATGTTCAACACTCACTGCAGGGGGCAGCTCCCTCGGCGTTCACCCCTGCCCCTCGTCCCTCCCACCTCCAGCACAGCAGGTACACAGACCTTCCCTTTCTCCTTCTGACACTCACAGGTGGCTACATTAACTGCTACATGTTTTCAGGAATATACTTTTCAACTTGAGATTTTTTTTTCACCCTTTCTTTTTTTTTTTTTTTAGACGGGGGCTCGCTCTGTCGCCCAGGCTGGAGTGCAGTGGCCGGATCTCAGCTCACTGCAAGCTCCGCCTCCCGGGTTTTTACGCCATTCTCCTGCCTCAGCCTCCCAAGTAGCTGGGACTACAGGCGCCTGCCACCTCGCCCGGCTAGTTTTTTGTATTTTTAGTAGAGACGGGGTTTCACCATGTTAGCCAGGATGGTCTCGATCTCCTGACCTTGTGATCCGCCCGTCTCGGCCTCCCAAAGTGCTGGGATTACAGGCTTGAGCCACCGCGCCTGGCTTTTTTTCACCCTTTCAACAGCATGGCATCAACTTTAATCACGATGACTTCCCAAACATTTGAAAATGACATAACTAACCACATTAACAGAATAAAGGAGAAAACCATATGACAGCTATTATCTCAATAGATGCAGAAAAGGCATTTGTTAAAACTCAAGACCTAATCCCAACAAAAAATCTCAGCAAACAAGGAACAGAAGAAAACTTTCTCATCCTGGCAAACCTGCAACCAACATCCTGCTTCATGGGCCACTATGGAACTCTTTCCCTCTGAGACCAGGAACAAGCAGGGCTGTCTACCCACTGCTTCTCTTTATCACCTTATTGGAGGCCTGAGCCAGTGCAAGGAGGTAGAAAAAATACACAAAGCCATAAGATTACAAATAAAGAAGTAGGTCGGGCGCGGTGGCTTATGCCCAGAATCCCAGCACTTTGGGGCGCCGAGGCGGGTGGATCACCTGAGGTGGGGAGTTTGAGACCAGCCTGGCCAATATGGTGAAACCCCGTCTCTACTAAAAATACAAAAAGTAGCCAGGCATGGTGGCAGGCACCTGTCATCCCAGCTACTTGGGAGGCTAAGGCAGGAGATTTGCTTGAACCCGGGAGGTGGAGGTTGCGGTGAGCCAAGATTGCACCACTGCACTCCAGCCTGGGCAACAAGAGCAAAACTCTGTCTCAAGAAAGAAAAAAAAAAAATCACAAATTGGATTTATCAGAATTAAACATTTTTGTTTATCAGGGCAGTCAAGAAAAAAAATAAAGGAGACTGAGTGTGGTGGCTCATGCCTGTAATCCCAGCACTTTGGGAAGCTAAGGCAGGGGGATTGCTTGAGGCCAGGAGTTTGAGACCAGCCTGGGCAACATAGGGAGACCTCTGTCTCTACTGTTTAATTAAAAATTTTTTTTTAAAAAGGAGACACAAAGGCAAGCCACAGAATAAGAGAAAATATTCCCAATACATGTATCTGACAAAGGACTTATATAAGGAACTGTAACTCCTACAAATCAATAAAAAAGAAAAATAAAATTTAAACTGGGCAAAATATTAGAACAGACACTTCAACCAAAGTGATACAATGGTCTATAAAAACATGAAAAGGCACATTGAGCACACGGGTCATGGGTGGTGTTTTCCAATCAAACGACTTGCTGAGTTCCTCTAGCAAGTAGCAATGACCACAGTGATAAAAATAACAGCTCCCGGCCAGGTGCAGTGGCTCACGCCTGTAATCTCAGCACTTTGGGAGGCCACGGCAGGTGGATCACCTGAGGTCAGGAGTTTGAGACCAGCCTGGCTAACATGTGAAACTCCGTCTCTACAACAAGTGCAAAAAATTAGCCAGGCTACTCAGGAGGCTGAAGCAGGAGAACTCCTTGAACCAGGGAGGCGGAGGTTGCAGTGAGCCAAGATTGTGCCACTGTACTTCAGCCTGGGGGACAGAGCAAGATTCTGTCTCAAACAAAAACAAAAACAAAAACAAAAACACCAGCTCCCCTCAGCTGAACAGCTGTGTTTGCACTACAACCTGGGCTGGGCTTCCCAGCCTGGAAAGCAGAGTCGGGGAGAACCGTGAGATAGGCCAGAAAAGGGGCTAAGGCCAGATTATTCAAGGCATCCTGAGCCATGGTTTCATGTGTAATGCGACAGAAGTTTAATACAGGAGAATAGAAGGACACTGTCATAGCTGCTTCTTTTCCCTCTAGGCAAATTAACACAGGATTTTTTTTTCTGAGGCAGGGTCTTGCTCTGTCACCCAGGCTAGAGTGTGGTAGCCCAATCACAGCTCACTGCAGCCTCGACCTCCTGGGCTCAAGTAATCCTCCCACCTCAGTTTCCCCAGTAGCTGGAACCAAAATCGCATGCGCCACCATGTCCTGCAATTGTTTAAATTTTTTGCAGAGAGGGGATCTCACTATATTGCCCAGACCGATCTCAAACTCCTGGCCTCAAGAGATCCCCTGGCCTCGGCCTCCCAAAGTGCTGGGGTTACAGGCGTCAGCCACAGCATCCGGCCTAAGCTACATTTTAAAAATTTATTATTATTATTATTTTTTTAATGAGATGGAGTCTCGCTCTGTTGCCCAGGCTGGAGTGCAGTGGCGCGATCTCCGCTCACTGCAACCTCTGTCTCCCAGGTTCAAACGATTCTCTTGCCTCAGCCTCCCCAGAGTAACTGGGATTACAGGTGCACACCACCACACCCGGCTAAATTTTTGTATTTTTTGTAGAGACGGGGTTTCACCATGCTGGCCAAGTTGGTCTCGAACTCCTGGACTCAATGATCCACCTGCCTCGGCCTCCCAAGTGCTGAGATTACAGGCGGGAGTCACCTCTCCTGGCTAAGCTACATTTTTAAAAAGATCTTCTGTGATGAACAAATGAGAAAGCAGCAAAACAGGATGGGGGTGGGGAGAAGATAGGGAGGCGATCAGGTGAGAGAGGAAGAGCCAGGATTGGGACTTACAGGGTGGGAATGGCAAGGAGGCAAATGGTTCAGTTATGGAGCTAACGCACCAGTGACTGACTGTGCGGCTGGGCGTGGGCAGGAAAGGGGAAGAAGTGAATCTCGGGCTTCTGCCTCCTCCCCTTCGCGGTGGAATGCCTGGGAGGACCAGTGGGTGGGGGGTGGACGTTACAGCAGCTCAGGCTGGGACAGGGGAGCTTTGAGTGTTATGAACTAAGTCTAAGCGCTTGGGTCTCACCGGAGCGGTGCGGGCTGGAGACACAGGTGTGGAAAGTGTCTATAAGGGATAATGCGGTCACGATCGTGGACGGGGTCAGCCGGGGAGAAACCAGCTTCAAGAGGATACACAACCGGGTCCTGACAAACCTGCAAGTGTAAGGGGCGAGGAGAGAAGAGGACGCTGAGCCGGAAGAAGCCGAAGAACAGCCCCCGAATAGCCGGGGTCACAGGCAGCCTCCCGGGTCTGTCCCAGCAGCCGCCGCGCTGGGTTTCACAGCCCTGGGGCGGCCGCAGAATTAGAAGGTCAGACAGCCCACGACCCAGGGACGGAGGGGCGGCGGGGACACGGGCGCACTCACCACCAGGGCGTCCTCAACAAGGATGCTGCATCCGCTACCCCGCGCCGGTAGCCCAGACTTCTACTAACTTCCCCAGCGGAAGTTGTTATCCGACAGCTTCCGGCCCCTCTAGGAGCCCACGTCTCGGTGGTGCGCGCAGGCCGCCCAGGCCGTCCAGGCCGCCCGCCTCGCCCCGCCCCGCCTGTGGCTCCGCCCCGGCCAGCAGGCCCCTCCCCATCGCAGCCAAACGCCACCACGACCGGCTGAGTTTTTTGCTTTTTTTTAGTAGAGACGGGAGTTTCACCATGTTGGCCAGGCTGGTTTTGAACTGCGACCTCAGGTGATCCGCCTGCCTTGGCCTCCCAAAGTGCTGGGGTTACTGGCGTGAGCCACGGAGCCCGGCCCTGGTAACCTAAAGTCGGCCTAAAGGTTTCTCCTACAAAGTGAACTGTACCCTAACTGGAGGTGTGAACAGACTGCCACTTGCTCTGGTACCAGTCACTCGGTTCCAGCCAATCAGGGGTGTGGGGTCCAGCCCTATGGGGCTAAGCGAGTGTTCTCCCCGTGTGCGGAGACGAGAGATTGTAATACATAAAGACACAAGACAAAGAGAGAAAGAGAAAACAGCTGGACCCAGGGGACCACTACCATCAAGACGCGGAGACTGTTAGTGGCCCCGAACGGCTGGGCACGCTGATATTTATCGCATACAAGACAATGCAGGATGTGCAGCCCAGGCCCAAGGGTGCTGGTGCAGGGCCCCGTCATGTGCAGGGGACTCTACCAGCTAGTAGGTGGTGCCAAACAAGTGACTGTGGAGGCCAAGATGTTTATGAGACTGGCACTGCCCATCATGACTGGGTGCTGTTGGAGCTACCAGTCGCACATCCAAGGGGCCAGCAGTTTACTAGGAGATGGAAGTGGAGTCTAGGATTGGGCTTGGGCAGGTCCAGAAGACACAAGGATGGCCCAGGTCCCTGTGCCACCCTCTGTCTTCTGGGCCTCTCCCCAAGCCCACGCCTGTGGCTCCATGGAGAGGTCCCTGAGCCCTGCTGCAGGAGACGGGTAGTCTCATACCTGGCTTACGGAGGGGCCCGGTGTGCTCTGAGGCCCTCCAGACAGAGCAGGGCTCCTGCGGCGAGGCAGTCGGTGAAGTGCAGCTCCAGCCCACCTCACAGTGGCCCAGCGGGTCTCCAAACCAAAAGCCAATGCTAGAGCTCCAGAGCCTAGAAGCCACACCCTGTAGCGCAGTCTTCACCTGTTGGGAACAGCCCCCCAAAATCTGGCCATAAGCTGGCCCCAAAACTGGCCATAAACAAAATCTCTGCAGCACTGTGACATGTTCGTGATGGCCATGACGCCCATGCTGGAAGGTTGTGGGTTTACCAGAATGAGGGCAAGGAACACCTGGCCCGCCCAGGGCGGAAAACCACTTAAAGCAAACAATAGCATGAGCCATCTGTGCCTTAAGGACGTGCTCCTGCTGCAGATAACTAGCCAGACCCATCCCTTTATTTCGGCCTATCCCTTCATTTCCCATAAGGGATACTTTTAGTTAATCTGTTATCTATAGAAACAATGCTAATGACTGGCTTGCTGTTAATAAATACGTGGGTAAATCTCTGTTTGGAGTTCTCAGCTCTGAAGGCTGTGAGACTCCCTCATTTCCCACTTCACTTCCGTATATTTCTGCATGTGTGTCTTTAATTTCTCTAGTGCCCCTGGGTTAGCGTCTCCCTGACTGAACTGGTCTTGGCAAGTGGCGTCCATCGTGGGAGCTCCAATCCAGGTGGAAGGGTTGCCGGAGTGATGGCTGGAGAACGTGGAACTAAGCTGGAGGACACCTGAGTACTCTTAAAGCAATGCCCGTGGTGAGTAAGAAGGGGAGCTTGGAAGCATCAGGGTAACAATGGGACAAGTGTGGGGTCTGGTTCATTCCACCTTGGAGCTTTTTCACACTGATGAGGAGGAGGAAGGAGAGTATAACGAAGTAACAGAAGAGGGTACAGAGCAGGTTTATTTGCCAGCTAAAGCTAACGCGGCAAAGGAGGGAGAGGTTCATCTGTACCCTTCTACACCCCCTCATTATTATTTTGAAGAAAAAGACCCTCCAGATCTTTCTTTTCCAGAGGACACTGGGGGAAAAGTAGTTGCCCCAGTGACTGTTCAAGCAGTGCCTCAAGCGATCGCTCTCAGTTCTATTCAGGCAGAAATTCAGCAAGCTAGAAGAGAGGGTGATTTAGAGGCTTGGCAGTTCTTAGAATACACCCCCCAGATCAACAGGGAAATATTATAGCTACATTTGGGCCTTTTCCTTTAAAATTCAGGAAAGCACATTTAGTTGATTATATCAAGGCCTGTGATGGTATCGGAGGTAATCTGCACAAGCCTACTCTGCTAGCACAGGCAATGGCAGGACTGAGAGTGGATAAAGGAAATACTCCGTTTCCTGGAGCTTGTTTTAACTGTGGGAAGCATGGTCATACTAAAAAAGAATGTAGAAAAAAATCAGTGAGTCAGGCCGCCAGATAGGGGAAAAAAGGAGACTGCTGAGCCTGAAATATGTCCAAATGTAAAAAAAGGAAAACACTGGGTTAGTCAGTGTCACTCTAAGTTTGATAAAGATGGGAACCTGATCTCGGGAAACGCCATGAGGGGCCCATCCCAGGCCCCATTCGAAACTGGGGCATTTCTAGCTCAGGCCATTCCCTCAGCCCTGTACAATGTCTGTGCCCTGCCACAGCCGGTAGTGCCGCAGTAGATTTATGCTGCACAAAAGCTGTGAGTTTTCTGCCTGGGGAACCCCCGCAAAAGGTCCTAGCAGGAGTCTGTGGACCCTTGCCAGCAGAGACAATAGGATTACTTCTAGGAAGGTCTAGTTTAAGTTTAAAAGGGGTACAAATACATACAAGAGTCATTGATTCAGATTACAATGGGGAAATTCACATTGTTATATCTACTTCTGTTCCCTGGAAAGCAGAGCCAGGAGAGTGCATAGCACAGCTCCTGATTGTGCCATATGTGGGAATGGGAAAAAGTGAAATTAAATGAACAGGAGGATTTGGAAGCACAAATAAACAAGGCAAAGCAGCTTATTGGGTAAATCAAATCACTGATAAATGTTCTACCTGTGAGGCTGGGCGCGGTGGCTCATGCCTGTAATCCCAGCACTTCGGGAGGCCGAGACGGGCAGATCACAAGGTCAGGCGATCGAGACCATCCTGGCTAACACGGTAAAATCCTGTCTCTACTAAAAAATATAAAAAAGTAGCTGGGTGAGGTGGCAGGCACCTGTAGTCCCAGGTCCTCAGGAGGCTGAGGCAGGAGAATGGTGTAAACCCAGGAGGCGAAGCTTGCAGTGAGCTGAGATCTGGCCACTGCACTCCAGCCTGGGCGACAGAGCGAGACTCCGTCTCAAAAAA